GCTACCGGTGTTCTCGTCCAAATGTCATGTCTCATCGGATTTTATTTCGTAGTCCTTTAAGCTTTCAGTTTTAAATAATAAATTCAACTAAAATATTTAATCTAAAATTTCCCCAATGTTATATAAGAACATCAATAGAAGAATATAGAACAGCGATATAATCATATAAAGTTAAATAGTACTCGTTATACCGTTTGTGGGAAACATACAGGGTGGGCCAAAAGTCATTGTGCAAACGTTGGGTCTTATACCTCCGCCGTGTTTTATATTTGAGGGTTGTTGCTTTGCAGATGGTTTACTGTACCTACTGGTTCGAGGATTCCGTCGCCAAAATTTGATATCCTAAAAGTCCTAACAAGGTGCGATATCTGCAAATTTGGAGAAACTGAAACGTCTTGTCAAACTGGTTTAAGGTTTTGTGGTCTTTACTTTAAGTACTTCAAAATTATGACGTCACGAATGGAAGACTTAAGACCCCTAAATAAGGTATATCCTCCAGAAACATGTACATGTGATGTAATTGAGGGGGTTGCAATTTGACTGATCAGCACATGATGACATGATGTGCACATAGCATGGCAGGTTCTCGAAGTCGCATTTTCTAGGTTTACAGGAAGAATTAGGTAATTGACAGAATGAAGTATCGGGGATGGGATGTCAAAACGCGTTATGTCACGTCGGCCAACTATGTAACATATAGTGAGAACAGCTGCAGCTGTGAGCCTGGTTTTGGTAATGGATTTTATTTAATCTGTACGGGGGCTTCAAATATGTTGGGATGTTTGAGTTGGGTTAATAATTTAATATGACGCTTAAACTAACTCTACTTCTAGTTTGAGTAGTTTGAGCGTTTCTATATCACGTATTTGATTGCTCCTATTATAATGCACTTATTGTTACATTTATGATGCACTTTATAAAATTCATGCACTTGTGACGTACTCAATTTATTGCACTAACCATGCTTCTATTTACTTAACTGTTTTTGATCTCACAACAGTTATTAAACAGTACTATAAGTATATATATATTATAGCTATAATATAAATTAAATCAAAGCTGGTCGCCTGGTCTTAACACATTTAAATATATACATAATTTTTGTGTGTTTTTGAGTTAATTTATTCTTGTGAGCGACTATCATATATGGGGTAACGTTATAACGTTATTGTACTGAGTCTTCTTGGGCAGATAAGCTTACTGTATGAAAAATGGATTTAAAAATCATTTGCTAAAATTTTAAAAACGTCAAAAAAAAGATGAAAAAAATTCGGATTTTTGATGGTTTTGATTGCCTTCTAGCGTTCATATTTATGTCCGTTCATAATTATGTCCGTTCAAGTAATGTCCGTCCAAATAAGGTCCGATAAGGTATTACAAGTAATGGTCTGTTCCTGGTACCTTTTATAATATTTATGGCTCTACGTTTTCGGTTTATTTTATCATAATTGCTTTGTTGTGAATGTGATATTTGTAAACGTTTTAAATCAAAATCACAGATTTCGATCGCATACTAACATCACACATTCTATAGCGCACTAGATTGTAGAGATATCACACAATTTTTTCCCCGCATCCTGATAGCGTATCTGCACTCCAACCTGATAGAAATTATAAACGGAATACCAGACACAGCGTGACACCTGCCAAACCAGATTTATATATATTTAGTAAATAGTTATAGCATGAGTTATATAATAAATACTTATTGGCAGAGGAAGGGGAAGTATTAAAGTATTTTGCGTTTGGAGTAATCTTCCCAAAAGCGTATTTGTCTGGAAGAAATCTACAAAATTGCAGAACATTTCGGTAAATGCTGATAACAGTAATGACAGTTATCGTGGGTTATTGCGAATTCCTTCCATTTTAAAATTTGGACGATTTTGTGGAAAGTTTATATAACTGCAGCAAAGATTGTTCAAATTTTTTGCATTAAGTGAAAATTTTGATGACAACAATAATACAGTTCGTTCGAGTTTGTAGTTATTATCTGTGGTTCAGATAAAGTCTAAGTCACTCGTTATCACTATCAGTAACGATAAAAGACTTATTTCTTCAAATTTAAGGCACCTGAATAGAGAATACACATAATAGGTATCTTGCTCACAAAAACTTATTTTTTTCGTCCACAATGGTTGAGATACACTCAGACATTCGATTTTCATTTTTCTGGCTGATATCATGACTATTTTGTGGATAATATATTTCTTTCTCTGGCGAGGGATCTCAAACGAATTATAGTTCGCTTGTAAACGTTATTTTGCACCAAATATGGTCGTTAGAGTGGCGATTCTGGTTGCAACCTTGTTTTATTTCCGGTACTCGAACATGACGTCAAAGTAGGAGGGAGCAGATCAAGCTTCAATATAAGTAGTAAGTACCATCATTCGCTGATCACCACTACCATCTACCACCATCACCACCATCACCACCATCACCACCATCACCACCATCTACCACCATCTACCACCATCTACCACCATCTACCACCATCTACCACCATCATCACCATCTACCACCATCTACCACCATCTACCACCATCTACCACCATCATCACCATCTACCACCATCTACCACCATCTACCACCATCTACCACCATCTACCACCATCATCACCATCTACCACCATCTACCACCATCATCACCATCTACCACCATCTATCACCATCTACCACCATCTACCACCATCTACCACCATCTACCACCACCTACCGTACCATCTACCGTACCATCTACCGTACCATCTACCACCATTTACCACTACCATCACCACCATTTACCACTACCATTACCACCATTTACCACTACCAGTCCAATCCAAGAGAAATTGTATTTATTTACTATCTCCATTTGCAGGATCGTGAACTATAATGTCACATCCTGATTCATCAGACCGTTTTTGCCCAAATCTATATGTGCAGCAGTAAGAGTATTTGGAGATCCCGATTGTCAAGTATATATATTATTTATAATGAAATGTCATGTCTTAATTTTGATCCATGGCTCCTGCACCACTGGGCACTGTAACAATGGTGCCTGTGACATTGTCAATGATACGATCACCCACAAAGTAGTTTCTGGAAGAGTCAGTCACGGGTCATGATGATGATGGTGGTGGACCACCACTGCAGTGGTGGTGTCGAGCAGTGAGATTACCTCAAACACTACGAGTAGTATAATAGTAACACTGATTTTACAATACACCTGGAGTAGCTGCACACTGCACAGTAACAGTTATAATTCTGTTAAATTTAATGCAGTTCTTTAACTGTTCCAACTGTTCTGGTGATTGTATTAGATTTCTTACTATTGTGATTAATCTTGAGAATAAGGCTTGCCTAGTAGTTTTCACCTGAACTTCCACTTTGCTGTTATAGTTATATACTAAAAGGTACTGATTTATCTGAATCTCTTGATAGCACGTTAAGGTTGGCGTGTCTCCGGTCTCCTTTCGTTTGTGTCTCACGAGCCTGTACTCAAGAGATTGGTCAGCCTGATATGTGCAATTACCTGATCGTATCTAACCACGCCGTGCATTCCACCCCTCGCAGCTACTTAGCCACATTTTACCACATTTAACTGCACCTTTCAAACACCTGATCACTCCTGCTTGTCAGTTCATGGCTCAGTTCTGCTGTACGTACCTGACAAAAGTTGACAGGTTTTGACACATTACGCATGTTTTAAAGAGACCGTTTAGCTTAGTCACGATCAGTTTATCTTAGTCACGATCAGTTTATCTTAATCACGTTCTTTGCGTGAGATTAGGCTTATATAGAATATTATTATTATGGATTTTGAAGGCACCATTTTCTATGATTCGAAACTTAAAGTTGCATAAGATCTGATACTTAATTTCTCTTTAGCAAAGAACCTAAGGCTACATTCCCAGAAATGTCAGAACAGACAGAATTCTGGAAAAGCGATGGGACTTATGGGAGGGATGGGTGGTTGCACACCAGCAGATATAAGATCTTAAGATCAGTTGTTTGGTTAATTTGTACAATAAAACTGATCTCTATCCCCTTTCCCTACTTGTGCAGGAGAGCTTAGCTGCTTAGCTGCACATTTCAATCTCATCCCCTTGTTGAACACTAATGAACGTTTGTACAGCCCTCCAAATCTGTGGGGATAGCCGCGTGATGGGCGCAATTATCTGGCAATTCATTGTGAGCTTTTGTCGGGTGAATTGTCCCCGAAGGGTGAAATTCCGAATGTATTCAGAGTCGGGGTTGGTCAACTTTTAGAGGTTCATTAATTTGGCTGGTTTTCGAAACTGTGATATCTTTTGAGAAACTTCCGGTGCTTTTATAGTGGTGATTTGCCAAAACTTCACAACCTCTAAACTCAACTTAGGGGATACGTAATATCCCAAATTGTCGAATTTAAATGCTTTTCAACCACTGTCATCTGACACCTGCATAACAAACCCTACCCCCTTTAAACTTTTAAATACCAATCGAGTCACCTTTGTGTGTGGTCTATAGCTATATAAACCTCTGAAATTGCGATTGCAATTGGTATTTGCAAACCTTTGTGCATCGAATCTCATACATCTCTTGTGACTTTTATTTTTCTTTATTCCATTCATTTTTAAGCAACATCGGTTGTTTGTCTGGTTACTGAGTATAACGACTTCATAACGACTTTAACAGAAATGATAACTCTCAACAGAGCTTCACAATTAACCTTGGATCTCCCTAGATTCAAATTGTTTGGACCATTGCCCAATCCTGTATTTCGTTTCTCCCTACACTTCCTGGGAGCGTTATAAGTAAAATGTAGAGAGAGTCCCTCACATAGCAGGACAATCTTCAAAAAAACTAAAAACTTTGACGTCGTAAAATTCGAATAATCTTATTTGCTTCCGTACTTTGTGACGTAATGATTGGCCATGCTGAACAGTATTCGTCGATGTAAATCAATATTCAATACCCTGCGTGACCAGGATGATTTAACAAATAAATTGTTTTTAATTTATGTTATAACGCCTCTCCCTTTTTAGGATTAAGGATTCGCTTGCCACTGTAGCAGCATTATTTAAATTCAATCAACTTCTCGAAGGCCTCGTCTGTCATCACGCGATCTTGATGGCAAGAATTTTACAAGCTTGTTTCTGTTAGCTGTGCTAAACTTGGATTTTTGATTGAACTAGGAGAAACGGACTGCACCAATTTGATCAGCTAATCAGTTGTTAATCATGGGCAACGGACCGAGTGATCACTGCGGTCCTTTTAGTCCTCAAATTACACTCAGACCTGATGACATTTCGGAAATAGAGTCTACTGTCTTGCCACAAATATCTCTCCTTAGGTTTGTACTTAATTAGTGTATATATAATTGCATACATGTTTAAGTAACTTTTGAGGAACTCGTGACTATGTCGACTGAATCTTGAGGTTGATATGTAAAAATTAAAGCAATTTACCTCCTTATATAAACTAATTCATTTTTGTTAAAATTCCTCACAATTCATTGCTTGTCTGACTTGATTGGTTAAATATATTAAATTTGCGATCTTCATGCCAATTCAAGGCAATTTTTGAAAATTCAACTCATCAGCCATCAGCGTAACCATTAGTAACTATTGGTAACCATTCGTAACCATAGTTAACTATTAAGTGTTTTTTTCAGTGCCACAGAACAGGATCATATAAAAAATGTACTTGCTCGACAAAAAGAAGAGGACCAAAACCTCCACAAACATCTGACGTAAGTTTAAAGGCCATAATATCAAGGTCGAGCAATATATTTGTAATAAACATTTGTTGGTTCAAGAAAAGTTTATTAAACTTTGTTTGGTATTTAAACAATGTTAAAATCATACATATTTTCCTCGTAACAAATATTGCTCGGTAACAACGAACCTAAGCTGCTTTAATTTCGGCTGATTAATTTTTATTATATATGTCCACTTTTTTATTGAATTATATTTGAAAAACGGGATTCCTAATTTTCTTAGAATTTCATTGTAGCCATTGATAATGCAAAAGGACCGCAATATTTGGATTTCTCCATCGCTCATTCGGGATTCTTCATAACATGCATCACCGTACCAGAATGTACAGTTACAATATTTGACCAAAACCCATAATCATGGGTAGAGTGGACCGCTGCCAGTGTCTCTCTTTCCCAAACAAAAGGAAATGATATTAATTTGATTGACCGTTCTCAAATGCAAAATGATACCGAGAATGAAATCGGTCGCTCGCTTTTCCCATTCATTTACAATTGTAATAGATTAAGAAGAACTACCCAAAGGCAGCTAGCTGCCTTTGGGTAGTTCTTCTTAATCTATTACAATTGTAAATGAATGGGAAAAGCGAGCGACCGATTTCATTCTCGGTATCATTTTGCATTTGAGAACGGTCAATCAAATTAATATCATTTCCTTTTGTTTGGGAAAGAGAGACACTGGCAGCGGTCCACTCTACCCATGATTATGGGTTTTGGTCAAATATCATCGCTTTTTGATTAATGTCAGCGGGTACTTTATAAAGTCGAAATATAAACTGATATCTTCATTAATAAGGAGGAAGTTTCAACGATTTCGAAATTTTTCCTTTGAAAACATTTCCTTGTGTTTGGGTAAGCATATCGGTCGATCACTGACTGAATTTGCCACTTTATACTCATTCAAGTTGGCATTAAATTTATATATAATGACATTGAACTGTCGTGGTAAAGCAGAATTTGTTCGAAATCACGAATGAGCAAAATTATCACCTTTCGCACGTGCAAACTATGAGCGGACGTTGCGTGCGCATCCAATATTGAATCGCCGTAAATTTTCGCGTGTTGGTGTTTTATATATAGTTTGATAAGCATGCAAAGTTTCAAAGTATTTCAAGAAGAACTGTAATCACAACGGCACACCAACGTTTACAGAAAATGGTAAAAACAGCAATTTTCAGTGATTTTAGCAATTTTTAATCAATTTGGGCGTGTCCCCACGTGTGCAACTTTTAGATTTTTAACTTTAAAACTAGCCTAATACACAATTTATACCTATAGGAAGCAGAACTGAGCTCCACAACTCAAGGGATAGCCCAACACCAGAGAATACTAAATCGCAAAATTGACGTTTTTATAAAATAATTCTTCAAAAAAGCACTAACTTCAATGGCAAATATCTTTATGAAGGAGCAAGGTAGGGAAACTTTCCGGTAGATTTTCAGAATGCTTGAACAATTATCTAAGGTGAAAATGTCCTCAGATTTTGAATAAAATTACTCCTTAATGGTATAAAATCAGTTTGAAAAGTTGTTATTTTGTCAAAAATCAAGTTTTAAAAACACTTAATTTGATGACGTCATCAAGTGGTGATGATGACGTTAAATTATTTTTCGATATAATTAAAACTGAAGTGTAAACAATTATTTTTAAGACCTGTGGTCGGAAATTGCTGTATCTTTTATACTTTTGAATCTCCGGACACTTAAATTCAGGCTACAATTGACTACATTTGACTGGCAAAGCGTCTATCCCTGAATATATGTATCACGACAATCTATCGTAAAACAGGGGTTCCAGAAAACCCATTTCCCGATACTCCTGAAACATGAAATTTTTTTTACAGTCGATTTGGTCAACGTCTAGACGCCCTGCAAAGTTTCAGATCTCTAACTCAATTTTAACATGGTTTTTAAGGCACCTGAATATGGCAATTTTGGGTTTTTTACCGAATTTCGTATAACATGCTGGCGCGTATTTTGCGCAAATTTCTTAAAAACCTCCACATAACTATTTCTTGTTCCTGTCATCTTTAACATTGAATTAGAATGATTTGAACTTAAATATACCTGCTGAACTACTTTCGATGAGTCTTAATGCCCGAAAAACAATAAAGGGTTATAAAAGTAAAGGGGGTAAATAGTAAAGGGGGTAAATAGTAAAGGGGGTAAATAGTATTGTGAATATAAGAGGCACGGTCATGCTTGCCAGCATTGTGATTATGTCCTATTATGTCCTACAATTTTATTCCTTCATAAAGAATAGATAAGCGATAAACACTTAAACAGTCGAGAACTGCTAAGAAATGTTCACAATAAATCTTATTTCAGGAGCTTATCTGATGAGATATCGTGCATGAAGAAACAAATAAAGAAGAGCAACAACAATTTGGACTCTTGTCCTTTGTGCCGATTTTCACTTGATACCCCAAGCAGGTACAGATATAGCAGTTCTATATTTTTTAACATCAAACGTATTAAGGATTGATTGAAGCAGCTATATTTAATAGTTATTAATGGTACACTGACCCTTGTTTTATCGCCATTCAGAGTAAGATACTAAGAATTTCTTTTCCTTCACCATAAAAAGTATAAATGCAACTGATTTCAGGTGCGCGCTTTGTCAGAAAGTTTTCTGTGAGTTTTGTTGTACTCACCGTTTCTTGAAAGGTGACAACCCAAAAAACATCTGCTTAGCATGCTGGAAGAGTACAATGCTCATGAACAATTCGTGTGCTTGGGAATCAAGTCCTGCGCTACCTGTTAAGAAGATCCCACGGCCTCACTCGAGCGAGGTAAGTCATATCAGCGGTTTTTTAAATAATAACAGGTATCAACATCAGATAAGGCTGAAAATGTTTGTTATAACGAGGAGCTAATAAGCGCCACGATAATTGAGAGAGGTCTGGTCTTATAGTGCTTAGTGATAATTATTATTTGAAAGCCCACTTTCCAGGACCCAGGTGGGTTTTTTATTTCAAAATCAAATATAACTACTTATTAAAAAGTTAATTTCAGCGGCCATCACTCAGTCCTGGTGGTACTTTTGGAGCCAGATCTTTCGTTCTGGAACATCAAAAACCTTTCGAGGCATCAGGCAGTCAAAAACGATCATTCCCTGTGAACGTGTTTTCCAAAACTAAACAAATCGTCAAACTGCCCCTGAGAAGACACGATCAGTTCCACCAAATGATGGATAGTAGTAGCACTGCCATGGAGCTTCCTTCTAAACCTTCCAACCCCATTAAAATGAAGGTAAGGAGCCAGAGGGGGTTCCTTGGAACAGTGAAGTGAAGTTAATATTTGTTGAGGTTCAATGGTAATCTGTGTATTTTAAAAATTGCATGCTGATGATCGGATTTGCTAAACGGTAGCTCGAACAAAAGATATTTCTTACGGGTATATATTAATAAGAATTATAACTATAACTGTAATAGCAAGGTGTATAATTCACTGCATCTGGAGAACATTATATCTCCAGTCTTTGTAATAACTTCCCAACAATTCCTTTAATTTCTCATTCTCAATTTCTCCTCGCAATTTTCTAGGTAGGATTCTATCTGGAAGACGATCGCCTGACTGTCAAAGTCTGTGAAGCTGTCAACATTCATTATGCAGATGGGGCACCTTGCTTTGCATCCTTAACATCAACGTAATTAGTATTTTAATATTATTTGATCTTAACCTTAACATAATAACCGTGAATATTAGTCGATCGGCCATGTCACGTATCGGTATGTTATCTGACAAATTCGTGATTGAACCTATGGCTATATTTCATAATCATAAAATCCGACTATAGGAATAATCGTTGACGGAAAGCTTGAAGCATTTAGTAAATACTGCTACGCCTCACGTATGCTTAAAGTTAAATTTAAATTAAAATGATGCATATTACATATCTACAAATATGACTTAACATATAAACTCAAGTTGACTAATTATCAATATAATTGCAGTTCGAACAAATGCCTGGCTATGACGTACTACAGCAAGGTCCAGTCCAGATCGTGTCATTGGAACACGTTTTCAGTGGTGGAGGAGGACGGGGTTGCTTTGATGGAACAGGAGGATTTCAGCTTCCCACTCATAATAAGACTCACTTGCAAGACTCAGTCTGCCAACATTGTCCTGGGTGAAGTATGTTCTTTGTTGCAGTGTGTTATTTAGGTTAGGACTTAGGAGATACACAGCTACAGTTTATCAGTAGAATAGTGTTTTACCGGAAAAATGAACTAATAATTATACATTTTAATATAGAACTTGTTGGCTTTTTTGTAACAAGAGTTAGGGTCGTTACATGTCACAATAGATTTGCCATTTAAATGTAACCTGTTAATATGATAAATGATAATGTTTACCCTCCAGAAAAGACTCAACATAACATGGTTAGACATCAACAAAGCTCGTTGGTACGTGTTGGAAAAGCCCCAGTACTCGATGCCATCTTCACCAATAGACTATCACAGTAAGAATGACGATATAGTTTTTCATTGAGCAACACAAGTCGAGTAAAATGTTTTAGCAATATGATTTTATTGTAATTTTCATGCATAAGCTAACAGTTTATTTCTTTAGATATTCCCCACCCAACATCAAAGGAGACAGTGAATCTTCGTCGCGATGCAGCTCTAAAAGGAAGTTCAATCAAGAGATCTAAAAAGCTCATAAAGATTCACAAACAATTTGGCGGATCTAACGATTCTTACAAGTCAAATAAAAGCGATGATGCTAATTCGATCAAGAGAAAAGATAAAGACCCTTTGGGCAAGATGCAGTATAAAAAGTCTGTCAGCAAGCCTAGGTTGTTTCGCCAGAGCATCAAAGGGAGCGTAAAAAAGTTCAAAAACAAAGAACAGAACGACAAAAAAGAAACTCAAAGAATCAGCATATGGAATCAGCAAGAGAAACCCTCCAGTTTTACTAACAGGAAAACCAAAAGCTTACACCTTCCTAAAAGAAAACAGAGTAATAATTTGTTAGGTTAGTCGAAACAATATGGAAAAAATATATGACATTTTTATCTCATATGATATGTTTTCATTGAGTTTTCATTGAGTTTTCATTAAGTTTTCATTAAGTTTTCATTGAGTTTTCATTGAGTTTTCATTGAGTTTTCATTGAGTTTTCATTGAGTTTCATTAAGTTTTCATTGAGTTTTCATTGAGTTTGCATTGAGTTTTCATTAAGTTTTCATTGAGTTTTCATTGAGTTTTTACAGTTTCGTTAACACATTTTAAATTTCAGACGCTCCAGCTATGAGTCGGAAAAATAAGGTTTACAGACAGTTTTCTTTCTCTGGGAACAGTTCTGTTTCCTCCATGGAATCCAAACCATTCTCGGTCGTATCAACAGCGTCAATAAAACAAGAATCGCGATCAAGCTGCAGCCGATCTAAAAAAGCGGAAAGAAAATCACCCAAGGATTATCAAGTAATTAATTGAATATCTCGCTATATGCGTAATGTGATATTATTAATGCGATATTATTGATTGTTAATACGATATTATTAATGCGATATATAGCAGGTCTAGATTTGCGATCTCGATTTTGTGTGTGTTCCGATTTTTTTAGGGACCAGTATAAATTGTTTGGTCTGATATTTATCTCTTATTGTCAGAGTCTGAGTTGAACAAATGGATTATCATTTTGAGCATTGTTGTTTTCTATATAGATAGAGATTTAGCTGATAGTCGTTGTTCAGATCGAAAAAGATAAGGATCAGCCAAGTCCGTTGAAACAAAATGTGCCAGTGATGCCCACGGCCTCACCCTCCAAACGAAGATCCAGTGGTTGCTCCAACACATCTTTATACGGACTCAGTCCGAAAAATATTCCATGTGAGTAATGTATATCACAATTTATATTTTGCTTCAGATGCACAGTTTGCATATCTTAAGTCTTAACATAGTCATGTGTGCTGAAAAATATCAGCCATCACATGGAAAGTGGGTTTTAGTGATTTATAGTAGGAGAGGTCAGGGGTAAGCATTATATAGTTCGTATAGTTAGGGTTTAGTTAGCTAGTAAAGGATAACTGATAAGGTTTGCATTCCAATATAATTCCCACGACAGGATCATAGTACGGTCTTGAAAATGCTTTCCTTACAAGTAAGGGTAGTGGTATAACTTTGCAACGCAGCCGAGACAAACCTAATAAGCTAATAGTTAATTCTTCACAGTCACTCAAAGTAGATTTGTGTTTTTTATACTTATAGTAATCCGGCGATTTAAATATTAAATATTATCTCACGCTACTCAAAGTGGTGATTAAAAGTCAGGAAATTTGGATCCGAACAATTTTGTCCAATTCATTTTGTGTCTTGATCTTGATCTATTTGCTCTTGCAATCATATAATGTAACTGTTATAAGTGATATTTCTCGACCAAATCGAGAATTTTGATTCGCAGTTGTTGTCATCCACCACTTAAGCTTAGTTATCAATCTCATTAGAATTTAGCTTCAAAAATCCCTCGCCCACGAAGATCAGTTCAAGGAGATCAGCTAAACATGTTAAATCGTAAAATAATCTCACCGGTCGAGTAAATGATTAAAATAATGGTTTCTAACGTATTTCTCAAAATCCATACCTCATTTCTTATAATAACATTCTCAGATAAACGTAGACGAAGCAGCTTTATAGAGGCCGTGTTAGCAGAGATCGTGGAGCCGGAAAGAATCTGGACAGAACTAGAAAACCAGGTCGGTACACTGCTCAGTGCTTCTCCGGCCGGGCTGTCCCCCTAGCTCTTACAGGAGAAATAACTTTCTTATTTCTTTTACGTTAGGAGAAGCTTATCAAGCACATAGTTGACATGATAGTATTTCGTAACTCCATAATTACATAGTAGGCGGGACTCAGGAGTGGTGCCAATGATGTCCTTACGCTGTTTTGAAGATGCACAAACTTTGTCATGATAATATCGGCACACATGGTTCTGTATTGGTTGAATTGGTTAAAGAGCTTTAAGGTTTAGACATCAGACTGCCTAATCATGTAAAAATTCAGCATCCAGTATAATTATAAACGATCTTCCGAGTGCCGAGGAAGTTGGAGTTATAGCCTGTTAAAGTATTAAGAGGTCTCTCCGACACTTCCTCTGATATTTAGCACAAATTTAAATTGCACATGTTGCAATCATAGTTATTGAAGTCTCCAAAATGTGCAGAAATTGCACTTTGGCGAGTAAAATAAAATTTATTAGATGTTAATAGCTATTAGCTCAGTGCGCTGGTTAAAGCTAAACTTCAGATTAACGAAGATAGTAAGACTATAGAATATTTATTCTCTGTTCAGGTCAACTATCCCTGTGACCCGACTCTACACAAAAAGGTGTCGGTTATTGAACAGTTGATAAACGAAAGACGTGCCTGCAATGCCAGGAAAAACAGGTAATGATTGATCTCATCAAGGTACAACTACAATTTGATATATTTCTGTAGCCTCTGATTTATGCCGACTATCATGATACCGCAATGGAATCTAAATTATCTCAAATTCATTTCAAATTCAACATCGCCCTCAGACTCACCCAGTCCCATCCTTCTCGACAGCGAGGCTTTCAGTTTTTCTTAACATCTTAGCAAGAAAATACTCTCCTCAGAGCATCTGCAGACGCGTCCCAAGAAAACAGTACATCTACTCGGAGTACGCCCGCGTTTAGGCAGACCAAGTCCCAGTCTATGGTGGATATCCGGTCTTATCCTCACTTCAGCAAAGAGAGGGTCCTCAAGACTCCTCTGAAGCAGCCGACTGCACGGGATGTGCGCTTCCAGAAGGTAGAATATTATCATCTTGTAACTAAGTGTTTGTTATTCTCATGCGGGCTGATACGTACGTTATTAAAGTCGTTGTAGATTCTATCTAACAATTTTAACTGACTGTGCTGTTGTTAATGTTATAATAACAATAAAATTGTTAGATATAAATATCTTTACAATCCACAATAGCTATTTTGTATTTTAGTGTGGGGAGATCCAAAACAAAATACACAATTTTCTTCAAACTACAAAAATCTTAATCCCTATTTTGAACTCTGCAATTAAGCTGTCCCACTCTTCTTCAGAGGTTACCTCCAGACGGTGAAGACTTTAACCTGACCATGAGGACCCCAGAAATCAAACACCCTCAAAAACCAGGCGGGGCTGAGGTCGGTTGGATCTGTCTATCTGTGAAATGGGGATATGGTGGACGCATTGAGGTGAGTAATTTAGTTTTTTGGTCCATAAAGATTAAAATAGTTAGAATTTAAATATTATTGGTCGCAATATTTTGGTTGTACACAATATCATTATCAAATAACCTGTTGATAATGATAAGATCAGCTGATACTAAAATTATTATTGAACCTGTTTAGACTCAGCAAAGACGTCAATCTAACTGATAGCATTATAGAAAGTGGTCGCTGTACGACAACCAACGTCATAATATCAAATTATTAGCTACATTTAAACTACTTAGTATTAGTTCGAAGGTATTAAAACTGTTTAGTCATAATTTGAGAGTTTGGGTGTGGCGTTGAATGTGGTAGCATTCCATCAGCCACAAACAGTGAACTGTGGGGCATAATTAATTTTCATCTGAAAGCACTCAATTATCCGTGGTGGGTAGTTATCCGTGGTGGGTAACACAAATACATTTATAATTCTTCAGACATACCTCAACGCGATAAAACTGCCCTCCAGCGTGCCCCAGTGTGTCCAGGTGAAAGTGTCCCTGAAGAGCAGTCGGAGAGAGGTCATATGTAGAACAAGGCACAGGTTATTATTGGATAATACTCCATTTACAGTCATTCGTAATGCTGAGTCACCATTTCAGTGCATAAATATTCAGTATTATATTTATTCAAAAATCGTGTTTATATATATGTGCATGTAGTCATCGCTGAGAATATTTTGCACTCCCTTTTACTATTTTACTGCCTTCTTAACTAAATTATCTGAAGGAAAAATTGGTACTGCCTTACACTCATAATCTCTATAACACGTTGGAGAAGATCACTGACCGTTATTTAACTCACAGAATCAGGCTGCGCGGGGACGAGACTCCGGTTAATAAAAAGATTTGTTTCGATCAGAATCAGCTAAATACGGTGCTTAAAGTCTCATGCAAGTTCAGGTTTGTGGTCTTACTACAAAAGTATATAAAACTACTGAAACTATTTGCTGATATTTGCTGTATTTATTTATACCACATAATTCTACACAATTCAATATTCATTATTATTATTCGAGACTATGCAAAGGCCCTGCAGAAGGCTTTATAATGATCGTACGGGATTACTATCGCAACAATTCAATTTCTCATAATTGCATTGATTTATTTTATCGTTATTAGTAAATTTATACACTTATGAATAATAAAGAGGAGTGAATCATTTTACACAATTTCTAAATAAACACAAATAAAAAATTAACGATTTAAATCATAACTTGACTTGACTCAAATAACCAACCTAATGTTTTGACTGATATACCTATACAGTATACATGCAGAACAAAGTGAGCTGTAGTAGAGTAGAACAGTCTTTGCAGTGAGACATATTTGGAGAGACTAGAGTAGGCACTTTAATGTATTTGTAGATTAGTCTCTCTTTAGTCCCTCTTCAGTCTCTCTTTTAGTCTCTCTTTAGTCTCTCTTTAGTCTCTCTTTAGTCTTTAATTAGTCGGATAGTCTATCGTAGGTTGGATTCTCTTTTTGGGTATCAGTTTTAACATAGTTCATCTGCTAAACTGAGTAACATCAGCTTCTTAACATGTTGCTCCTTGAGTGTACTGTTACAAGAGTCTGGTTGAGTGTAGCCCATTAGTCGTGCAGGTGAATTTTGAAATGCTGCGACTTTTTTGTTCCCATTACTATGGCTTTATTTTCATAAATAGCTTAAGGATCATCATAGTTCATCTGTAAGAAACTTGGCATCAAGCATGGCATATTCTTAACGAATAACCTAAACCACAATGACGTACTTCCTTCTCTCGAGCATGTGTGTTTTTGATACGGGATAGTGTACTGATAATTATAGTGCGTGTAATGGTGCACCTCCTCTACACAATATGTCTTTCCTAACTTAGCTTTAAACCAGGGATTAGACTCATATGATGAATGAGTGCATGTGTTTAAATCTTGGTCTATTGTATTAGTTGCAACATAATTATAGTCATGCGTTGTTGACATAGAGACAGAGACAGGCGTTATCTCGTTGTCATCAAGCAGGGCATATTCTTAACGATAAACCTAATTACCTGAACCACAATGACGTACTTCCTTAATCCTCATCATAGTTCATCTGTAAGAATCTTGGCATCAATCATGGCATATTCTTAACGAATAACCTAAACCACAATGACGTACTTCCTTCTCTCGAGCATGTGTGTTTTTGATACGGGATAGTGTACTGATAATTATAGTGCGTGTAATGGTGCACCTCCTCTACACAATATGTCTTTCCTAACTTAGCTTTAAACCAGGGATTAGACTCATATGATGAATGAGTGCGTGTGTTTAAATCCTTGTCTATTGTATTAGTTGCAACATAATTATAGTCATGCGTTGTTGACATAGAGACAGAGACAGGTGTTATCTCGTTGTCATCAAGCATGACGTACTTCCTTAATCCTCATCATAGTTCATCTGTAAGAATCTTGGCATCAATCATGGCATATTCTTAACTAATAACCTAAACAATAATGACGTACTTCCTTCTCTCGAGCATGTGTGTTTGTTATACTCGATGAAAATGTTTTATGGATCATCATAGTTCATCTGTAAGAATCTTGGCATCAATCATGGCATATTCTTAACGATAAACCTAAACCCCAATGACGTACTTCCTTAATCCTCATCATAGTTCATCTGTAAGAAACTTGGCATCAATCATGGCATATTCTTAACGATAAACCTAAACCATAATGACAAACTTTCTGTGGTTTTCTTCATATCTTCATATCTTCATTTCTTCATATCTTCATATCTTCATATCTTCATATCTTCATATCTTCATATCTTCATATCTTCATATCTTCATATCTTCATATCTTCATATCTTCATATCTTCATATCTTCATATCTTCATATCTTCATATCTTCATATCTTCATATCTTCATATCTTCATATCTTCATATCTTCATATCTTCATATCTTCATATCTTCATATCTTCATATCTTCATATCTTCATATCTTCATATCTTCATATCTTCATATCTTCATTTCTTCATATCTTCATATCTTCATTTCTTCATATTTTTATTCTTCATATCATGGGACTATGATGGGGTAAAAAATAAGTTAGTATTCGTTAACTGAACAAAACTGACACTATGCAGCGGTCACTGAATACCTCTATGAAAATAAAATCCGGAAAAAAAACCAAACCAAATAAAAATTGGATCATTCCGATTGACATAGAAATAAAACGACTCGACAATAAAACGATCATACTGCAATACCAAGTACGGTGAGTTAAGGAAGATTTTTGGGCGAGTGATTCAGTAAGAACCGTGATTTAGTACCTAACTAAACAATAAATGCTGTTACACACCAATATGTATAAAAACTATATTGAAGATATACACTGTATATCTTCATTGGGGGGGGGGGTTAAAAATTAGCCAAAAACTAAAAATTGATGATTACGTAATATGTGAACGGTCCCTAAACAAGGTGTACTAAACTAGGCTATAAAATTTTAACTGTTTACAGTTGGTGGCGTCGAGCAGAGCTGCTGATCCCTCTCGACCAAGCAGACAAGACAGCCCTCGGTCAGGGAGCCTGGTTCAGTCTCAACCCCGTCTCCTTCTTTAGAACTCCCTTTAAGAAGGGCGAGTATGACGTGTTTGATGGTCTTTTGGATAACACTAGTATCAGCTTGCAGTTACCGTGACAAAAGGAATTTTAGGAAACAGACTGCATTAGGTTTACAATTTTCAGACGAGTATTTGTGAAATTATTTTATCGCTTTTTCGCCATTTTTTTGGTGTGATTCGATTTCATTTATTTTAAATTTAATTATTAATTTTTTTAACAATTCAGATTTGCTATTTGCTTTCAATGTGATTGTTTTTAAAATTTGGCCGCAGCCAACAAGGAACATTTATTTTGATTTTGCAATTTAAATTCGTTTCGTTTAATCGAGAAAAATCACGATTCAGACCTTCCCATAACAATTCATGATCCTAATTACGCCATTTTAAAATGAGTTATTTATTTATATCAAACAAAATATCATGTTCGAGTGGAATGACTAAAAAATTAAAAATGTTAACAATGTTAAAAATGTTTTGGCAAAACATCTTTAGTCAAAGTGATTTAAAGTGTGAGATGACATGTTTAAATCATAAAAATTAACTTAGAACATGTTATTGATTCTTTAGTCTAATCAATCAGACAAAATGCGGAAATGTGAAATTTTTAAAAAGTTAAAACAATTATATTTATATTCACGAACCGCTATTCGCTCTAGGATTGTCACATTACAATCACACTACTTGAATATCTGTTTACCGTTACATCCACATATTATTTTGAAGCTTTTAAGCTTAATGTAGTGTGTGAAATTTATTTTTGTTATAATAAACTACCAGTAAAGGTTTTTAGTAGAATTCAACCTTTTTCTGAGCCCCAGGAATGGATGAGTCTCATATCTCCAGTCTGCTCTACTGCCTTCGCCGCATTGTTTATCTTTCGTTACGATATGATGGCTCAGACACGCCATCGTTTTAAAATTGATTCGAAAAAACCGATTTCAAATCGTTTAATATTGAAAATTGAAATTGAATTGGATTTGGAATTTCATGGCTCAACCCGCCGGCGCCCGCTCCCACTAAATCGCTCGCCCTTAAATTGTAACAAAATTCTTGTGAAAATGCCGTGTAGGTGTGAAAGTAGTATGATTATGACATCACTGAAATAGGCTAATCATTTAAAGGATTGAACAACTATAAGGATTAAAAAGAGCAATAAGCTAAACTTAAGGCACTCATGAACACGAAAAAAGACATTGCAAACAAGGTAATAACATGAAAGTAAATGAGCTTTATAAATTGCATTTGAAATTGAAGATCTTAAATCTTTAAAGGATGCAAATGAATGTATGTAGGTAATAGTAGTAATACTACCTTACTCGGGATTATTATGACGGGTTTATTAACGACCGGTTAAAATATGGTTCGGGAAAAATATGGCGAAATTGCTCGAAACCCACCACATTTTCCCGGTCGCCATTTTACCGGTGTCCAACCTTTCAATTTTAGATTCAAAAATGTTGTCTCAGATGTAAATTTCCTTATTAGAGATAAGCAGGTTCAGAAATTTTCGCATTGCTAAAACTTGTGAAACAAGTCGAATTATCAATAATTGTTGAAAGTAGACTCTAGCAAATTCGTTGTTTTGAATTAGCATTACATGTTTACGTGTATCAAATAACCATTATGACTCAATTTGTAGAAAATCTTCGAAAGAATGCATCGTTCACATTGTTTAGAATTATGAATAAATGACTGATGAAACTGATTCATGTTATTGACCGTTTTAATTAATTCGAGTTTTAATTTAACTGTTACTTTTACTTTGAGTCCTATTTCATTATGTAGAGATAGTCCTACCTAAGAAATTAAAAATTGGCCTATTTAAATCAACTTTGACAATAAGGATATATGACAAGAATTGGGCAAAAAGGCGAATTTTTTGCAATTTTAGCCAAATGAAGTCGAAAAACCTACAACAAGTGTCCCAATAGTCTTCTTTAGTGAATATAAGACAACCATTAAAATATGAGCACCCATACCCCTTGGGAACCCTAAAAGCTGAGTCGGCGGGTTTATTAACGACCGGTGAAAATGTGGTTCGGGAAAAATATGGCGAAATTACCCTAAACCCGCCACTTTATCCCGGTCATAATAATCCCGAGTAAGGTAATAGCGTTCTAATTCTATTAATATAATAAGGTGTTTCGTATAATGGCTAACCCGCCTCTCAACTTCCCTAGTTGAGTGTGTCCTAGAACCATGCTCATTGCCTGGAAGTCCTGCATTATATATAATAATGAACCTGGAAATATACGGCGTGCAGCTCTATAAACAAACAAAAAAATAAAATAAAAGATAACCCGCTGGCTGCCCGACAATAAACGCTAACTACTAGCATGAGAGTACTCAAAGTAAACACATTAAAACACTGTAGAAGGAACATAATGTGTGTAATCTTATTTTCTATGAGGCTTTAATGTGATTGTGAGTGCTAGTCACGCATCGTTTGGGCAATTAGGCTGTAAAGATCGACAGTAAGCCTTCCTTACGGTCATACGATGGCTTTCACAACGTGTCTGCATTTCCCCAACTCCTGCTGCTGGTGAGAGAGACTCCCAAATTATATACCTACCATAAATATATTAAACATAGATATCGACAACAGACTCCGAGAGTCTTGAAGTTCTGTTACCAGTACCACCGCCCCTGGTATGGTGCAACCCCGACGGGCCAACAACGGAAATACAGGGACTTCTGCAGGGGAGGTCATGGCCTGCTACGTGCAACTCGTAGGAGTAAGCAATGTTCCTGTAGGTGTAACGTCACTGTAGACCGCTCCTCTATCGTTGTTTTGAGTGTCCGATCCAAAACCAAATCCTAGGGTACACGAGACGTGGTAGCCTGTGAGCGTGTTAAATCCTGGGGTTACACGAGACGTGGTAGCCTGTGAGCGTGTTAAATCCTGGGGTTACACGAGACATGGTAGCCTGTGAGCGTGTCGGTGTAGACCGCTCTTCTATCGTTGTTTTGAGTGTCCGATCCAAAACCAAATCCTAGGGTACACGAGACGTGGAAGCCTGTGAGCGAGTTAGAGTCTGTTAAGTGTTACTGTTAGAGTCTTAGGGTTACCGAGACGTGGTAGCCAGTGAGCGTATATACCGCTCCTCTATCGTTGTTTTGAGTGTCCGATCCAAAACCAAATCTTGGGGTTACATGAGATGTGGGAGCCTGTGAGTTTCCTGCGGTTATGCTGCGGTTCTAAGGTTAGTAGTTAGTACTAGTAGAGGCTATTACATATATATTAGAGCCTTTCCTTAATTGTTGTAGAGATGGAGCTAGTCCCTTCCTTTGCATAGGTTAGAAACACCCATGCACCTCCCGTTCGAGCCACCCACCCCACACCGCGTGGAGGTTCGCCGTTGATCGGTGAGGTTTTCGTGGGGCGCCATGAAATTCCAATTCAATATTAAAATATAGAACGATTTGACATCGGGTTTTTTTTTCAAATCTATTTTAAAACGATGGTGGGTCTCTGAGCCACCGTAGATATATTCGTGACAATTTCAACATTTTAATTTTGCACTAGTTATAGTTTTCTAATTTCCTGTTACACCGTCCAAATGATTGCAAATAAGGTCGAGTTAAATAAAAATAATTCCATGTGTATTTCACGTTAAGAAGCAAACACTTTTCACAGTCTCAACAAAATCCATGAACTATCCCAGCGACACACACACTGATGAGCTTGCTTGATGAATGTGCATGATCAGTAGAGATCGTGCATGAACCTTCAAAGAGTTTAGAGAGATTGCAGAGTCATGACTCACTCACACAGACATATGTTAGTGTGCCACTCAACTTCCACCTCACTACTCAGTACTGAGTACAATCAGTAATCACACCAGGTATACCGTGTAGGTACTGTGTTGGAAGAAGAGATGTCTGATGTACGTGACGTATACAATCAGGTTTATCAGAAGATGGCAGCCACTCAGCTGGACAAGCAGCCTCTATTCTGAGTAGTTGAGTATGTGGTGCTGGAATATGTGTGTGTTCTCATGTATTATATTTGTACATATAGATTGAGAGCTCTATACGTAGGAGAGTATTATCCGGTGTACTTTTTCTTACGCTATATCTAAAGTCAATGTGTAATGTGTTTTTTTCTTGTTTTAAGGTTGTTGTTTGTAGTTGTTTTGAGTAAACGCTTTATTTTGTGCCTTGTTAACTCCAATGTGCAGTTTATTAGTTGTACGTGTTTTAATTGTTTAGTTCGAAGTTGATACCATTTTGTGGGCTTGTTAGGGGCGGAGCTACAACAAGAGTTGATCGCGGGAACATGAAATTTCTAATGAATGAGCCTCATAACACACAATCAGTCATGATACAACTAAAAAACAAAACGTATATCACGTGTCTAAATTATAATTACGATGAACAGTCAAGAATTGACGCCGCTATGCATAAACTTGAGCAACAAGAATACAATGACGATTCCAGATGGCAGAATCTGCCTACCAAATAACGCTAAAAAGCTCAAAAAACGTGTATTTTTCAAAAAATCGTAACGTGAGACAAGTAGAGTCATGCGCTGGTTTTAATCTAGGGCGGTTGCCTTTTTTTAAAGTCTTAAGAATATAGTAATCCGATGACAAATTTTCGGTAATACAAACAAAAAGTCGGCCCAGTGATTTCATGCCACTGACATAATCATTTCAGCTGCACTACAAATCAGAGGCACATATTAGGTGCGGTAAAAAAGTCGAAATTATGCGGTACCGCACCCGACTATAAAGGTAAAATGTGCGGTAAGGTGCGGTAAATTTTTACCAATTATGCGGCAAATGTGCGGCGATTTTTTCGAAATTTGTGCGGGAATTGTGCGGGTTTTTTTTTGCATTTTCTCGAGGACTTTGGAAATTCTAAACGTATAACCGCCGCTCTTATTAAAAATAGGTCTGTTTATGTGTTACTGATCAGGGTGTAGTTCTTTACTAAGACCATGATTGAACCTATATTGAGATTCAGTTATCTGGGAACAGTGACTTGATCTGGTAGAGATCAGGAATCAGGACGCAGTTATTTGAAGACGCCTCTTGATAGAGTCGATCAGATCCCATGCGTGATCGCAAATATGTGACACGCTTGTTGGCATTGATCGTCAGTATTTGTGAACCATTTGATCCAAGATCCATTAAGCCCACTATAAAGCCAACGCTGCAACGAATAAAGCTCATTACCCTTTACACCTACTTCTTCTATTATCACCTACGAATGATAACTGATACACTATAATCAAAGTACGGTAACGACGAGGGTTCCATAATGGCCTGGGTCACGGTCCCGAAAGGGCCTGGATCACGGTCCCGAAAGGGCCTGGGTAACGGTCCCGAAAGGGCCTGGGTAACGGTCCCGAAAGGGCCTGGGTCACGGTCCCGAAAGGGCCTGAGTCACGTGGCCTAAGCATGAGTTCCAAAAGGGCCTGGGTCACGGTCCCGAAAGGGCCTGGGTCACGGTCCCGAAAGGGCCTGGGTCAGGGTCCCGAAACTGAAAGGGCCTGGGTCACGGTCCCGAAAGGGCCTGGGTCACGTGGTAACCGGGTCACGTGACCTAAGCATGAGTTCCAAAAGGGCCTGCGTCACGGTCCCGAAAGGGCCTGGGTCAGGGTCCCGAAAGGGCCTGGGTCAGGGTCCCGAAAGGGCCTGAGTCACGTGGTAACTGGGTCACGTGGCCTAGGTATGAGTTCCAAAAGGGCCTGGGTCACGGTCCCGAAAGGGCCTGGGTCACGTGGTAACCGGGTCACGTGACCTAAGCATGAGTTCCAAAAGGGCCTGGGTCAGGGTCCCGAAAGGGCCTGGGCCAGGGTCCCGAAAGGGCCTGAGTCACGGTCCTAAAAGTGCCCAACTTTTAACATATTTTGGTTTTACACTCGAAAATCTTAACGCGAAAATTTCAAAATTATGCGAAATTACGCGGAAAATGCTAGATTATGCGGAAATATGCAGATAATTACAAAATGTGCGGAAATGTGCGGAAAACAATAAATTATGCGGAAGTGTGCGGAAAACGGTAAATTGTGCGATCCCGCACCCATCGCACCTAATATGTGCCCATGCTACAAATGTGACCAGCAAGCACATGATTTTCATTATTCACAAACAAATTATAGTTTACCAAGCTGTTTGTCTGAGTCTAACTGTAATCGGCCAAAACTGTTAATCCAACTTGCAAAGGGATCATGATGGGTCTCCTTACATTTTGTCTATTTAATTTTAACCCGTCAAATTTATTTTATCCATTTTATATTAAATTCGATGCAGACACGTCAATAAATAACTCGATGGTGGTGTGCTAGCATAGCTCATAGCTGATAAACTTTCATGATTTATGACCAAATAAAGTGAATAGAAATGTAAGGTCATCAGCAAATTTCGGTCAACATTAGGTCTTCGGAATCTAATGTTCTCCCAAAATCGGATTTTGAATAATTCAACATTTTCTCTGCAGATTTGTATTCCTCCGAGAATTTGTATTAATCGGGATCCATTTACTATTACACATTACATTTACTATTATACATATCATATAGAAATGCTTGAATAGATTAGTGGTAGTGGTAAGCAACAAATGTTCCAAATTGCAATGACCATAATCCGTGGTCTGGTTTGAAAACAGCTTTCACCAATAGCTATCATTTTGTCAGTATCAAATATTCGGGTTTGGAGGGTTTTTGAATTTTCAAACTGCAGTTGACAGTTAGATTTAGATACCTAAGTTTGTTCTCTGAGTTCGGCTGTGATTGACTAAAGCAGATCCAACTTTCAAAGGGTTAATGGGTCCCTTTACACTGAATTTAGTTAATAAATTGAAGAGCCCGATTTTCATATTCGAACAATTATAAGGTAGAAATTTCGGTCAAGTTTTTAGGTCCTCAGATTCTGTATGTTCCTTAATCCAATATTCTCCCAGAATCAAATTTTGTATGCTGGTAATGGTATGCAGCCAGCGTTTCAAATTCAATTGCAAAAACCATATTCGGGGATCGGGTTATTAAAAACAGTTTTCACTAATAGCTATCATTCTGTTAGTCACAGTGTTAATCTGTGGAGCAATGCACAAGTGCCGGAGAGAGAAGCTGCATGACAAACATTATACTTGAAGGCAAGCAAAAACAATCAGCTAATCACAGCTAGGATATATTGTCAAATTTTCAGATTTCAGAGAATTTGGTTGGCATTTGGCTGGTGAACTTGTAACGTTGCTTTTTTTGTCATATTAACTTATAGCTTTGTGGGAATCGTGGAGAACCATAAAGATTTTAATCCTTTAAAAGCTTACGTTTGACGTGGAATTATGTTTATTGGCTTGGTAACCAGCTTAAATCCAGATGGATTGCCGTTAGTAGTATTTACATGCAGGAAAAATGATAAAATATGCTTAGTTACATTTTAATATCGTTTGCTTGATCATTGATACTTGTTTTTTTCTTCAGAGAATTTTCGTGAGAAAATAGTGCAGAACTAGAGCGTAAACTATTGAGTTTATACCCTTAACTCTTTCAATTATGTAACTTTCGCTTTTCTGATACCCAAATAATTATTTATTTATCTCGTTAGAAGTCTACGCATCGTCCCGTTATGATCAGTAGAACCTTCGAATCACATATTGGTTCAGAGATTCCATTTCAATGTTCAGCTGGATTGGTTCTGTTTATTAGATATAACCGATGATCCGCATCATTCTCATAAGTTCCAGTTAGAGTGCAGATGTAAACTAGTTAGGGTTTACGACAATTAGGCAATCGCCAGGGACTGCACTAGTCATGAAGATAACCGTTTTTATAATTGAGTTTTAGAACATAATATTGCATTTTTTGATTTCCCTTGCTGTATAGTTGCACAATGCACAGCTATACTGTATAGTTGCACAGCTATAGTTCCCATACTGTACAGTTACACAGCTATTATACTGTAGAATTATCAATACAGATCCGTACATTTTCAAATTTGTGGCTCTTGAGTCTTGCCTCTTCTGTTAAAGCAAAATTGATTTGTTCATTGTTGCAGATCTATGAAACTTATCACCGAGAAGAACTAGAACTTTTATTTATTCTCGGTCTTTCTAATATAATAATGACAATCCATATATATTTTTCAATCATATTAGAGTTATGCAAGAGATATAGTCATAGTTTTCTTTTCATTGTTTTAAAAGTCTATACTTTACATAATATCACGCATCTAGCAGAGATAGCTCAATTGTGCCAAGATTTAAGAGTACAGCTTGCTTTTAGAGTGCAGATAAAACGTTTTCATTAAGTTAATAACATGAACAATGTGTATAGTGCAAGCTGCGTCAGTGTTAGATGATAACACATTGCCAAAGTGAAAGATATGTGACATTTATTTTCTTCAGTAAGCTATTATATACTCATGACCTGTATTTTAAAGTTTGCTTTTTTGAGTCTCCTACAATAAATACGCGATACTAGACACTAGTCAAAAGCTACACTTTTTTATGGAAGATTCTGACATTTTAGATCACCCGGCAGCAATGACGATTGAATTAGATCGGTGGCAGTTCGAGAGGAGACTTCATCACTATGTGGAGTATCAGTACTGGGAGAAGTTGCAGAGGTTGAGAGTATCTTCAGGGAAACCTACTAATGATAAAACACGCAGATCCTCAAGTCAGTATCCCGGATTTGTGAAAAGTGAGATTGCGGAAGTGATAAATTTCGTAAACCTCACCATTAATGAATTAAGTGAAATTTGCCGCTGATATCTGATTATTATATGTGTATCTAGTTGTGGGTACAACTATAAGTATTCATTGCTGTACTAACGTAATTTAGAATACTTGCTTGTAGTTATAGATTCACAGCAAAGACCGAGGTCTCAACCAGCACTGAGACGAGTGAAGTCACCAAACACTGAGATATCAGACAAAGCATTTCTCAGAAAGGTTTGAAATTGAAATTATTTTTATACTTACACTTACAGCGCTTTTTTGTTCTAGACATCACCACAATATTACCTTTCAACCGAGACAACTGAAATTATAACTTTCTATGATCAAATTCTTCCCAGGTATCCGCCAAACCAGGTAACTGCGCCCCATCTATAAAATCGTCAGCTACCTCCAGCACAACTAACTGCCCTTCAACTAAGTCAGTTACCTTCATGCTTCCAAGAGGAGGAGAAGTGAGCGATCACGAGAGTACGGAGAGCGAGCCGACACCACCATTTCCCTTCTCAGGGACTAAAGCTAAAAAGACTTAACGACTCTTGTATATGTTCGTTTTAGAACTGTAAAGTTAACTTTAATTTGTAGTAACGATGTGAGATGATATAATCGTTAGATTAAGAGCGTACAGTGTACGCCTCCTCCACAGTGTACACTGTACCCCTCCCCCACACTCACAGATACGTGTTTGATGAAACTGTTCCGCGCTGTTCTATTGTCCCAAGTTTTCCTTCATGCAAACTTCTGTTTGAAAAGGCGGTGTTCTAAACTGTTAAAATTAAAGTTTGGCATGGATGCCAAAATCGGCTTGTTGATCACTTGCTTACGGAAACAATTGCTTACGGAAACAATTGCTTACGAAAACATTTTATCGGCTTGCAAATTTCTTTTATGGACGAGATGGTTAAATTCAGCTTTGACACGTGGCAACAATTGTAGCAGAATAGTTGAGTGGCTGTGACAATTGAGCTTGCAATCCGATTGTTCCAGATGTGTCACGTGTCCAAACAAACGAATTCCTTTGAACTTTTGAACAAGATAACCCAAATCGTTGGCAACTTGTTTTAACTTTCCAGATTCTAGAATAGTGATATACGCTACATTAGCTTAAGGCTAATTTACGCTAGATTTATACTGTATTTATGCTAGATTTATGCTAAACTCATCTTAGATGTATCATAGATTTATCTTAAATTTATGATAGTGATTGATGCACTTAAACCGAAAGATACTGGTTAGGCAAATTATTCTAGACCAATGGTACCGTGACTGCAATTGAATTCACTTCAATTAAGGTATTAGTACTAGTAGATAATTGAGAATATAACCGAGGCTGGCGATTTTTCTATTTAACTGAATCAAAATTTTTTAATCAGATAGATAACAATTTATACTTCATTTTTTGTCATAAAATAAATCGTCTTTATTTAACAAATGCATGAAAATGTAAATATTTGATACAATTCTAATTTTTCTGCAAGCTATTATAGTGGTCTTATTATTCTCGTTAAAGAACACTTTTTGTCTGCACAAAATTAAGAGTCGCTCAAACCGTTCATCATGTTTCACAATCAATATCCATGGCACGCAAATCATCATACATTACAAACTCAAAATAGTTATTATGTACAAACAAGTAACAGCTAAACCCTAATCAAAATGTGAATTTCCAAATGTTATATAATCCTTGTTGGATCGCCAATGTTATAGATGCTGAACATTTTGACGCCGAAATCTAAAGAGAAATTGTAATCGTTTCAAATATCGTGTAAATATGCTAGGTTACAGATAAATATTTTAAAACTTTCTCAGGTATATAATTTTAAAGTAATAAGTTAATCTATAAACTTAAATTTATGAGCTATTATAAGGTAAACGAGCGTCTTTGAGGATTAGAAAATACGACATTTTAGTATCCTCCTCCATTTCATCATTCCATATCTCACGACGTTTAATACACCGATATTTAACCTTAAACTTAACTCAAAATTTACACTCTATCCTTCTAACCCTGACACCAACCCAAAATCAAACCTAGTTTAAAATGACAGGGCTGAAATGTCGGGTCCCAAAAATATTACCAGTCAACTCTTTCAGAAATCCTGCCTGAATCGCAGTCACTGCACAATACAGCATTAAATCAGCGTCACAGCCTTCGGTTCATAATAACCGACAATTTTACTGAAAATTCTGCAAACCTAAACAAAAACTGCACCACTGCGAACATCATTGTCGTCACATCGCATTCTCTTTTTGACGTTATCATTATTTCGAATTTCGTAAAATTAAAAACTAAATAAATATATAAAATTTGGTTATATCATTCACATTCAAAAGTCTGACTTGAGTTTGGCATGCTAAGTTTGTGGATTCCAAATCACAACTGTACAAAATGATTGCCTGTCCCATCTGTTGTTCGTCTGTAGTCACGCATAATCAATGACGTCATGTCACATGACACGACGTCGAGCGGGAAATAATGTCACGTTGGTTCACGTGACGTAAAGGTGGTTTCCGGATGTCATTGATCGGAAATGTTGGAGTGCATTTCCCACGCTTCGCCCAAAAGCTTTCCTGAGTCGTCGCCTAAGAATAGAAGACGTTACCAATATATTCTGTAAAGGGCATGTAGCACGCCTTGTCATGTTATTGTTGGTATGTATTGAAGCCGAACAAGTGTTCCATCACGACAAACGCAAACTTGGCAAATAGTTGAGGGGTTAAGTAACCCGGCTCAGGAATTTAAAATTCTCAGTTTTTCGGCTTGTCATAAGAGAATTCCGGCCTAGAATGAAGTTCTAACCCACCGAAAAATATGTTACGTTCGTGCGCGCGTTACACTGAATGTTATTTAGGATCCTTTAGTAGGAAATATTTTACGCGCGTTACATTAAATGCAATGGAGATCGGATTAAAATAAGATTCTGATCATTTTTAAAGCTTTATATTTAAAGCTTTATAGATCATAGTCCATAGATCATAGGTTGGAGCGTTTCATACTTGTTTCGAACAACAATTTGTTTAAGAATAGTCTTTATCCAATAAACTAAAAATACAAGAACTTACCGTAAAGGGAGTCGTTTGACTCCTGATCGAGTGCTGCGTCTGATCCCAGAGTATCTGTACTTGCTATTCTTTTCGCGGCGTGGAGGTCTGGTTTCTGGCCCTGGTGAAGAATTCTGTTAAAAACTCTTGTATAGATAGTCAGCGTGACGTTAACTTCTATAGTTCTACCAAAAAACAAAACGCAATAACTGTATAAGTTTTAAAGGATGTACGTGTATAATGTTCATTGCTAATCAATAAGGGCATTAATTTTATCTACAATTTATCTGGAAATTTTCCACATTATTTGCAACTAAAATTTCATTACACGTCATCCTAACCATGTTCCTCACATCGCTAACACGAAATACCCCATTGTTGGCAAGGAGGCAGCAGAAAATCAAATTCTGGAAACTTAGTGTCCTTGTTCAGGTGGCATATTAGCTACAGCTCCATAAAGTAACCAAACCAATGAGAAACATCATCCTGTGTCACATGATCTTGGACAGCCAATCAGAGTCAGATTTGTGTTTGACGTAAAGACGTAAATGGCTAGTGGAGCAGTTACATGCAATCCAATGGTTCTCGTTGCCAGAAAATTTGGGAAATTTGAGATTACATATTTCAATACTCGACGTGTCATTACCATTGAAGCATTAAAAGCTCTTGGCGTGAATTAAATTCCCAAGAATCTGTAATGATCGACAGCAAGAAGTATGGAATAAGTGACAAAGTGGAAATTATCCCTTTATAAGTTATAAATCCATTATTCTCACTTCAAAATGACAAAATCATGTAATGCATAACAGATCTAGATTTTACTTATCAAAAATATGTAAGTATATAACGTACATTGTACTATACTTATAATATCTAGCTAAACCGCCACTTACAAAAGGATATTTTATCTCGTTTGCTGATAACAAACATTTATCATGTGTTCTCGTAATATTACAATCATATAATATGCAGCTGAGTGCTTGTTAATGACTAAACCTAGCTGATTTGCGTAACGTGCTCACACAATATGTAAAGTCATAATAACATGGTCAAATCTGCAAAATTGGCTGCTTCTTCCATTCCACGCCGGCAAACAACAAGCAATTTTGTGATGGAGGTAGAATTTTAGCAATTCTCGATCTCATGAGAACCACATCAAATTAATATCACCAGCCATGAAATTACTGTACTGATTCTATCTCCTACATTTAAGTAGTCAGTATTTATGTAGAGAGTTGAGGGACATTGTGAGACGACGACAAACAAATTATTGTTCTCAATACCGACACCGTTGCTCTATTATAGTTCTATTATGTACAGAATTAACGTGGCGTTGTGATGATAGTTAAAACACACACACACACACACACACACACACACACACAAACACATCTGGTTTTAACATGACTGACTTTTATTTGGTATCAGGTGTCAGCTATCAATTTTAATAATTGACTGTCAGTAAACATTCCAGAAGTAAATATTCCTGTAGTTCTAAGTTCTAACTATCAAATGCAACCAATAATTACGAAGATGGCATTAAGATTCCTTACTGTTATACAATCGGGAAAATTTCCAGTGTTCCATAATTTGTTGGTGGTTTGATAAGGTCCTGACTCCCTGACACTGACCTACTTATTCTGCAACCACTTATTCTACAACCAGACCTTCGCTCACAAGGCCCCCCTTCTCCTCAACCAATACTCACCCAAGCTGCAGGAAGAGTAATGTCCTCTCCGTCATCAACTGAATCACTTCCGTTCTTCTTAAGGTTCTTGTTGCGCGGGTTAGTCGCCCCCCTCTTGGCAGCGTTGGTCATAGTCTTAGTGCTGACACCGTTAAGTTTCCTCTGCATTGGTCCCTGCTGTGAGAGGAGAGAGTAAGTAACTTGGTATATAATTGTAGAATAAATAAGTGGTGAGTATCGGGCTTTTAGTTTTATGTACTATTAGCGTTACTGAACAGGCGAACAGGTCAGTGTCTTCAAATCAGGCAAATATGTTGCAAATATGTTGCAAATATGTTGCAAATATGTTGCAAGCTCTATAAACTCCACACGGAACAATTGTTTACTTGAATTATAAAAAAACAAAGGGTAGAAAAGCACACTCTGAACACGCAGATATTATGTATTATATCGGTAAAACCCACACTGTAAACATATAATACATTTACTGTTTGGTACGGTGTATAATATCGTGGCTAGTACACTATAATACCCATTAGTGTACTAGAGGTCATAATAATGAGTACAATTATAGTTATTATCGGTACTTAGTGAGTCACGTGGAACAAAATGTGACTGTAAGGGGGGAAGGACTAATAACAGGCGCTTATAAGTCAAGTGGTGCTTTTTCGAGAAACTTATTTTTCTTTTAATAATAAGGTGAGATTAAAGGTGAGATAAAGGCTGTATAGTGTATACTGTATGGTGTATATAGTATGAAAATAGAAAAGGAGGAATGTTGACTCATTAAGAAAATTCCTGATCCTAAGAATAAAAGATAACAGTTCCGCTCCAGACGCTGTTGGCTCAAAGCCTATCGTGAGTTGACAGAACAGAAGACCTAATTTCATAACCCCAGATTAAATATGCTGCTGCCTGCTGTAAGTATTGAAGATAAAAAGAATTGGGATCAAAATCAAAAGTAAAGTTCCCATGCACAATCAAAACACTCTCAATCAAAACACGCGCTCTTTCTCGCACACATATACACACGTTTTGGGACAGTCTCTTAGCTTTCACAGCCTGAAATTCTTGGGTTTAACACACTATTCAGCTTCTCATAACAGGGTTAAATGTTGTAAATATGTTATATATGATAAAACATTGTAAAGGTCGGTAACCGCAGATTATTTTATTTGTTAATTTGGTCAAAACCGATCGCTGCAAATTACAATCCTTTTCAAGAACACGCAATCCTCACTTCCTACTAAAGTTGAGGAAGTCAAGTACCATCAGTATATTTAAAAGACAATATAACATTTTAATATAAAAGAATTAGCATAACAAATGAGTATACCTTCTTCTTTGTGTTGGTCCTAGCAGGAGTAGAAGTAGTCAGTACGTTACCACTACTGTTACTCTTCACCAGAGCAGATGGGGACACGGTCTTGTTTCTCTCCATTACCAGACTCTGCGAGATATACGTTAGGAAACTACAGATCTCATGATAGTTGGAGAGTCTTCTTGTTAAATATTTAGCAAGTTTTCTTGTAACCCAAAGTTGATGATAGTTTTCTAGAGTTTTAGCAAGACGAAAATCCGCCCGAATAAGTCGTCATTATGTCAAGAGGTGAGATGATCTCATTAAATCATCAAGCATGTCGTAATTTGTTTTGACGATTATGACAGATTTATCAAGGTCGTTGATTGGTGAACATGGTGGTTCCAATGTGATTGCAAAACTTTTAACGCTCTAGATCAATTCTCTTCATCTAGCAGCAAAACCATTTCCAGACATTCACGTTTTTTTTAATAAACTGAATGCAAAACATTGCATTTTGGCATGTACGAAAAGATTCATCATGCATACAAGATTCTAAATTTGAAATCAGGCCAAGGACTTGAAACGATTCAAGCATTGAGCAAGCATTTCGCACTATACGCCCTCTACCTTTAGAATTGGAATAATCGCTACATCGCTCAAAACTTCAGGTACTCTGACAAAATTTCTAGCTATGGAATAGCAGCTGCAGTATTCTATAAAAAGACATGTTGTAAGATTGCATTTGTTGTTCAACTTTAATGTAATTGCAAGTCATGCACCTTTGATCCAAAAGGGGCATAATGAAGGTTGTGCAATAAATTTTGCTGCTTTCTCCAAATAACTCAGATTGCTATGGCTTTAAAGTAACTTGAAGACTTTAAATACTTAAAATAATCTGTTTAATCAACACCTTCGTCATTAAATCCAGACATAAACAATCATGACTTCAAATAAACTTGCTAATGAATTCAAGAAATACAAACGGGTGTTCTGACGAAAATACGCATACAAAATTAAATAAAGATTAAATTGTCAGCAATTCTATTAACTCTACTGTTCTGACCACGTGACTGAACTAACCTTGCTCTGCATAGGACTCTTGATATTCTCTCTACTTTTGCTTCGTCCAGTCTGAAACAATTAAAGATGGTTAGATTTAAACTTACTTAACTGTCAAGTCTTGTAGTGCTCACATTTTGCAGTGGGTTTCAGTAAAGATCGATCTCTACTTGTAAATCGTCACTTGATCACCAACCAGTTTCAAGCTTGATAAATCCCATCTGTATTCTATATAATTCTATAATTTACAAGTAGTTATACAGTAAAATACTCCATACTAGAGACTAGAATCTGTGAGGCCGGTGTTTGATGTGGCCGTGACGCGGCATCATGTGGCCGTGACGCGGCATCACTATAATCCTGGTTTCCAATTATCTAATCTGATAAATTTTCAAGAATCAGCAGCTGTTTCTGCACGTGTACAATCACCCAGTAAAATAACGTATAATTTCGAGGGTAAGCTGTGATCTCATCAAGTAAAATGCTAAAAAAGTGGTGCAATATTAACTGCACCCAGCGCGAGCGAGGTTCCAAAATAGTGTCTCTATTCTTTGTTACACTTTTTTCATAAGGATTAGGTAAATATGTATTACCACTTTCTGTGTCAGTTTTTACTAGATTTAGTATTGTGAAAATGATCCTCTCTACATTTTACAATCAAAGTTCTTATTTGCTTCGTGATAAAAAATTATTATGCGTTTATGCTAATTACTACATCATTAAAGTAATCACTACAATTTGTTATTCAGATAAAGTGCCGTAAAACCTGTCAAATTTGTTGAAGATAAACGGGATTTTGTATCCTTAATTTTGTCTACTAAGAAGTACGACCTCATTAAATTTATCTTCGCAGTAGAAGAGAAAATGTCTATCGTAGACTCCGGATCCCTAACAAACCCTGGCACCCTCTCACACACCTCATCACCCGATACAGTCCCCAACCACCCCAACCAGCTCCTCGACCAGATCCTAGGGTCACTCTACATCACCTTCTTCCTTGTGGGCTGCCCTGGTAACCTCATCTCCAGTCTCTACTTCCTGCTCCGCCCTAAAGAGCTCCCCACTCTACTCTACACCCTAACAGCCCTCACTGACACGGCTCTAATCTCACTGAGTGTGTTTGTGGGGGTGTCCTACTTAGCGGGGCGGCACCCCCTTCTCTTCCAACACCCCCTCCTCTGTTCCCTCTGGAGTGTAGTGTTTCACGGGTTACAATACTTCTCCGTGTTTCTAGTAGCTATCCTCAGCCTGACTCGCACCTACAGCCTGTTCTACCCTCTACGTAGACTCAGAAGACGAAGAGTACTGATGGTGGTTGCAGGGTATGGTGTTATCATATCGCTGGTTCAGATAGTACCGGGGTTAGTAGGGTTAACCCACGAAGTGTTCACTAAGGAGGATATGTACTGTTGGAGTGATGCTAGCGATCCTTCCTACACGCCTTCTTACATCCTGGTTCAAGTGTTGGGTTCTCTGTTTCTCTTGCTACCCTTTCCTGCTGTCACGGTCAGCTGTTTGGTCTCTATTTACCTCATTTATACGTCCCTGAAAATGCCAGTTGCTGCTCTCAAACATACGAGGATAAACATCAAACGCGATGCTACCATCACCATCATCATCATGACCTCAGTTTACCTCATTTGCAACCTCCCAATGTTTACCAACATGATGATATGGCTCTACGAAATAGGAGTCTACAAAACTGACTCAGGGCCGTTTTACGATACCAACACTTTTACTCAGTTCTATTTGTGGAATCTAGTGGACGTGTTTTTTGTAGTGCTCAATGGAACTTCCAACTTTGTAATCTATCTAACACGGAAGAAGAGCTTCCGTGTTTGGATTGTGAACACGTTCCTTCACTCCAGGTCAAATTACACATCTCCCTTACCAAACAGGAGTGCTATTAGAAGTAGTAAATCAAGCTGTAGAAGCAGTTCCAGGACCAGCCTAAGAGCTCGTTTGAGAGAAAGTTCCAGAGCTAGTCTCGGGGCTCGCTCCAGGATAAGCTTGAGGGAAGGTTCTAGGGCTAGTATTAGAAACAGTCCCAGGGCACATTTCAGATCAAGCTCTAGGATAAAACTGAGACCTGTGCAAGGAGAACAAGGGGGATCGCCAAGGTTGGAGGAAGCTGGCAGTTTGTTATCAGGAACTAGACTAGAGGAGTAGACTACTCGGTCATGGAGAAAGGAGATAATGACTTGAGCTAGCTCCTAACAGTTATGATGAACACATGCAGATAGCTCGAGAAAATTAGATAATGACTTGGTGATACCGAACTTTAGGTACACTGAGGACTTTGCCCCAAAACAGCAACAAATATTCCAAATATTTTTGTTACCCTTATCACTGGAAATGTCGAAATGATAATTAGGGTTATTACATAAACCTCCATATTCGAAGGACTTCAGTCAATCAACTTCATTGGTCAAATTTCAACTTCGATATTCTATTCAGGCCAAGATTCCATGTTTCGACGAAGGTGAAGGTGTGTTCTTAAATGTCCATTTTATTAAATTACAAGTTAACTTAATCTAATTATATTTCCCAATATCATACAATACTTTATTCATTTCAGATTTCCGGACCACTCACTTAGTAGAGCTCACTTAGTAGAGCTCACTTAGTAGAGCTCACTTAGTAGAGCTCACTTAGTAGAGCTCACTTAGTAGAGCTCACTTAGTAGAGCTCACTTATTAGAGCTCACTTAGTAGAGCTCACTTAGTAGAGCTCACTTAGTAGAGCTCACTTAGTAGAGCTCACTTAGTAGAGCTCACTTAGTAGAGCTCACTTAGTAGAGCTCACTTAGTAGAGCTCACTTAGTAGAGCTCACTTAGTAGAGCTCACTTAGTAGAGCTCACTTAGTAGAGCTCACTTAGTAGAGCTCACTTAGTAGAGCTCACTTAGTAGAGCTCACTTAGCTCTGACACGTAATATTCTAATATTCTAAGCTCGCTTAATTATCGAACCCAATCCTAAATACCCACTACCCAGAGTAAGATGACTTAATACACAGCAGCTGGATCGATAATTCAGGTCGCTGGAGACTGACCACCCAATAACTTGATGAAGTCTAGCACAGTCGGAGGTCACTCTCTGTCAAAGTAGCCATGTTTAATATAAATATGCCAATTTAATATCCTCATAAACTGTCTTATATATTATTATATTATGTGATGTAGGAGACCTCACATAAATGCACGTGACTCACACATGGCATTGTACACAGCACAGAACGTATAGTGGTCCAGTAGACAAATTACTCTCCTCAGACTCATCATATTTGTATCACTCATCATATTTGTATCACTCATCATATTTGTATCACTCATCATATTTGTTTCACTCATCATATTTGTATGGACTCATCATATTTGTATTTTATAATACCTTCCGGGAATTATATCCACTAAAAGTCTCCGACACTGAGAGCTGATAATTTGCCGATATATCCCGCAAGGGAAGCAAAGGTATTATCAGCATAGACCTCAGACTGGCTGGCGGCAAGTTGTAAAACAAATAACACTGGCGTTCTATATATTAGACACTATATTGTATCATGCGCACGTATCGGATTACACCCCTTCGAATTCGGAACCGGAAAATATTATAATACATAACACCTTGGCAATTTCGTGCCCGCGCGTTCCCTCCAGCAAGCTGTCGGGAATTATCGCGCTCAGCACTCATTAGCCAAGGTATTATTATATTACATTACGCATGAAATTCGTTTGCTGATAAGAAAATTTACCATGGTCGACGCCGCGCTCAACTTATTGGATCAGCCAACCACCCACCCATCTCACGAGACGAATCCTTCATCAGATGACAAGGGGCTACCAGGTAGTGACCCACTCACTACCTCTTCAAAGACCTGCCTGGTACCCCCACAACAAGACGGTACGTACGATAAAACTTTTAGGACGGCACTATTATCTCCTAAAACAAGTTTAGAGCTCTTCTCAACCCTGACAGAAGAACAACTTAAACATGAATCGGAATACCATTCAACAATCTGTGGTTTTACAGATCATACAATAGGAGTAGGGATGCTAACTAGGGATAGAAAGGCACATGCCTATGAACATTTAAAGCAACACCTAGAGCAACACCTAACTAGCAATGTAGATGATATTTCTAAAAATTTGCATCAGTTCACTTCCGTAACCTCCCTCATTTCCGAGAAACTTCAAGAAGCAGAAAGCCATCATGCGAGGATTATTGAACAACTAACAGAGTCGATAGCGGCAGCGAAACAGTGTATCACGGACATGTTAGCTTATGAAAGCGCCGCCAACTCTAGAAGAACTCCTCCATCAACCCCACCGCCACCACCAGCACCAGCACAGCTCAACACGGTGACGTTACCAACTATACCAGGTGCTGTTGAACCGTGTGATATAAACTTTGACCATTTAGACCTGGAGACAGTTTGCCACGGAGTACATTTTACTAAGATAGGGCATCGACAGACAGCATTTTTTGGTAGAACAGAGTATCGTTATGGCAGAACAGTACACAAACCACTTGATATTCCCACGAATCACCCACTCCTTGAAATCATAGACTCAATCGCTCATCACACAGAAGACCCAACATTCACCACAGACAACATAACTTGCCTTCTTACTCGTTATGAGAACGGTAAATCTTCAATTCCCATGCACAGTGACAACGAAGCTTGCATCGTCAATCCCAGTAACATAATCACAGTCAGTCTCGGTGCTACCCGAACAATTGACTTCCGCAGCAAAATAGGACCTCTCACGACACAATCCATACACCTCAAACACGGGCAGACTTATTGCATGTCAAGGTCCTCCCAGGATTTTTGGGAACATGGTATTAAAGCAGATCCCACAGCACAAGGCGAGAGACTATCACTAACTTTTCGCAGACTCTCAGCTCCCACCACACCACAGCATATACCACCAATCCGCCAATCTAGTAGACCAGAAACAGACCCGACTCCGATTCCAACGGAACGTGTTCTGCTATTGACGGATTCAATTCATTCAACCACACCCGTCAGCTTGTTTCCTACTCACTTGCCATGCACCAAGGAGACAATG